CAATTTGGACAAATTTCCACTCAGTTATTTAAGTGAGCACTGCCGCGAGGATATTGAAATCAATAATTATTGTGCTTGGCTTTCGTCAAGCATTAAAAAAAATGGTCCTCTTTCCATTGTATTGAGATATTTTCATTAAAATCTTATCATGATAATTCCAAAAATGATCCTCGAAATGAAATTTTGCAAACGAAATTATGCACAAAATGAATGTAGAGTCATATTATTTAATCATCAAGTTAATTGCATATACTGATCCATTGTTCAATGGTGCGCCATAAACATAAAACAAGTCAAACTCTGTCATTTGTTAACAGGGTAAAAAAAGGAGAAGTTCTCACTCCAAATAGGAAAAAATAAGTTAAACTCTGCCATTTGTTAACGAAATAAAGAAAGGTTAAACTCTGCCATTTGATAACGAAATAAAGAAAGGAGAAGTTCTTACTGTAAATAGAAAGAAGATGTGTTGGAAGTCCTGCTCTTCCTTGGCCCAGGTTTGCAATAAAAGTAGAAGCGACTGCAATAAACTGCCGCTTATAATAACGATGAGAGGAAGAGTTTGTTGCGCATCCGTGTAGTTCTAATAAATTAATAATAAGATAAAACTATTTTGTTGTATTAAATATGTTGCGGAAGTGACTGTTGATGCTGTATCATGCAGTTTATATATCATTATTTTTTCATTATTGGATATCGAACTTCAACTGCCTATTCTTAGGTCCCGCTTACGTAGTAGCCAAATTAACTTGTATTTATACGAGTTAATTTAATGAGATGATGATGAGTTCGATGAGAACGGTAGATTCATTGTAGTTGTATAGTATGTATAGTTGTATAGTATGTATAGTTGTATAGTATCGATAGTGGTATACGTCATACAGTTCAAAGTTTAACATATGTGCTCACTTATAAACTGTACACACAGAGAAGTTAATCACACTTTGTGCAAATAACGATGCACTTATGCCTTTATGTGAGTCAACTTGACCCACATTAAGGCATGAAGACCTTGGGGTCATCAGTTTGGCCCTAGAAAAGTACGTACCAGTGCTTCACGCAGCAAGTGTGTCACTATTTGGACAATATGACCCATTTAATTTTCTGAGTACCTTATTTGAATATAGGCTGTGATTTTATTTTAATTTAATTTAGTACCTTATTTGAATAGGCTGTGATCCCGCTTATTTGAATAGGCAGTGACGGATCGAAGTGGCAGGCACGCAGACGACGACGAACAAGGACTGACGATTGTCGTAAGACTGAAGAACATGTTTTTGTACTGCTGAACTTGACATATTAATGTGGAATAATATATATAGAGTTGGAAATACCATGTTGATTACGCACCAATTAATAAATGCACTTATTGTAACTTTTTCGATGTTTCAATTATAATATGAAGGAAGATATTCATAAATGTTCAAATCATCATTGCACTATCATCTCAATATGCATATCTGGAAAACTTTTCCATGCATAAAAACTTACCGGGGGCAGATTTCGTGGCTATATAGCCTGATCTATTCCTCTATTCCTGGAAATGATCGAGCAGTTCATTTAAGCTTCATTTCCCATGTAATTTAGTGACTCATGAGACGACCAAGTGAGGTGGAGACGCTAAAGAAATTATATTCATGGCCAACGTGGAGTCTTACGCAAGCTTTATCCTGGAGAACAACTTTTAAAATATCAAGGCTGCCGCTGAGCATCGATGGCCTGAAGAAATGAAGTTTAACGGGTCGAAGAGAAAATTTTTATGGGTCGAAGAGAAAATTTTTAAAAGGTTAAAAAAATGCTTTAACGGTTTGAAGAAAAAAGCTTTGATGGGTCAAAGAAAAAATTTTTAATTGCCGCAGAAAAAAGCTTTAACGGGTCGAAGAAAAAATTGTAAAGGGTTGAAGAAAAACGCTTTAATGGGTCGAAGAGAAATTTTTTAAAGGGTTGAAGAAAAATTCTTCAACTATTTGAAGAAAAAAGCTTTAACGGGTCGAAAAAAACTTTCAAGGGGTCGAATAAAAAAGCTTTAACGGGTTGAAGAAAAAATGTTAAAGGACTAAAGAAAATGCTTTAACGGTTTAAAGAAAAAAGCTTCAACGGGTCGAAGAAAGAAATTTTAATTTGTAGAAGAAAATCTTTAACTGGTCAAGGGAAAAATTTTTAATTCGTGGAAGAAAAAAGCTTTAACGGGTCGGAGAAGAAAGTTTTTACGGTTCAAAGAAAAAAAATTTAAACTTAAAGTGTCGAAGAAAAAGGCTTTAACGGGTAGAATAAAAAATGCTAAAGGACTAAAGAAAAATGCTTTAACGGTTTAAAGAAAAAGGCTTCAACGGGTCGAAGAAAAAAATTTTAATTTGTATAAGAAAATCTTTAACTGGTCAAAGGAAAAATTTTTAATTCGTGGAAGAAAATAGCTTTAACGGGCTCGGAGAAGAAAGTTTTTACGGGTCGAAGAAAAAAAATTAAATTTAAAGTGTCGAAGAAAAACGCTTTAACGAGTTGAAGAAAAAAGAATTTTACTTACCAGTTGTGTAATCAAGCGTGGCTCCAACACGCGATGATCAGGGTCATTTTTCATTTACTGATGTTGATTATTTCAAATAAATCGTAGCCATGATGCCACACTCACGTCTGGTATTTTTGTGGTCGTGGCGCCACGGCGCCAAAATGCCTTCAACACGAGGCAATAGGAACATAATCGAGACAGCTGATACATTTCCACTATAAAACTGATAATAACAAAATAATAATAATATTTAAATAATAATAATATTAATATATTTAATAATATATATTACTAATAATAATAATTTTTAGTAATTATGTGACGATGTGGCAAAATTTATGTTGTTTTACACAATTGTAGTTTTTGTCGCCGTCTGTCGTATCGAAATTTTTTAATTCAGGTTTTGGAACCTAGCTTACCTATAGACGTAGTTGACCTACTAGTTCATCAACCTCACACGTGACCGATAACCACATTCCAAACTCATTGGATTTGAAAATCAACATTCTTCTTTGACGAAAAAATGTTGGAAATTAGAATTTTCAACAAGACCAGTATTAAATGAGTGGAGGCACATTTGTCTGAACAATAAATCTACTATCAAGCAATTGAACTTTGCAGAGTGCATGTGTGGTTGTGTATCCTAAGTCTGGCGCCGCAATATATAGGGGCTGTTGGGGCACGTATCCAGGATACTTATATCGTGTCGAAACATTGCCCTTTCATTCTTAGTAGGACTATTATTATATATAACTTAATTATTAATATTATCAATCTTTAATTATTATAGTAAGAGAATTAAGTTTTTAATTGAATTAGGTATTGCCAAAATTATATTATTTGGGATGAAAATATTCTATTCAACATTCAATTTTCTGCAAATTACAGAAGTTATTGAGCTCGGTCAATTCCGGGCTATACTGCTAGTGTCTAATACTAAGTGAATCATTATCCTGCTACTGTAGAGTACTCATTACCTTACATTATCAGAATAATCATCATAACCCTGCTCATGTACTGTAATCATTACCCTACATCATCAGAATAACCACCATTACCCTGCTCATGTAGGTCATACGTGACACGCAATTACCCTATCATGTACTGCTACCATTACCCTACATCATCAGAATAATCATCATTACCCTGCTCATGTACTGCTACCATTACCCTACATCATCAGAATAATCATAATTACCCTGCTCATGTACTGCTACCATTACCCTACATCATCAGAAAAACCATCATTACCTGCTCATGTAGAGTACTCATTAGCCTACATCATCAGAATAATCATAATTACCCTGCTCATGTACTGCTACCATTACCCTACATCATCAGAATAATCATCATTACCCTGTTCATGTACTGTAATCATTACCCTACATCATCAGAATAATCATCATTACCCTGCTCATGTAGGTCATGCGTGACACGCATGCCGGCTAAGAACTCATGTGCCCGCTTCAGGAAGCGACTTTATAGTGACAAGGAAAAAATCTCCAGCTGATCGCATCGAGGAAGTGAAAGTGCATTGCCGCCGAAAACCAGAAGAGTTCAGGAGAAAGTACGAGGCTTACAATGAAGCAGAGGCTACAGCGAGCACCGCGCTTCCCATTCTGTGACCTCAACATATACAACTTCTAATTAACTCTTCCCACCAGAAATGTGACGTTGAATTAACTTTCATTAAACGTTTAAGCATTGAACTTAATTACATTGCTTAAACGTTGTTTCAATGGTATATGCCTGTAGCATTGAGGTTTATTGTTTAAACTTGCTTCTCATTTCCGTAACAGTATCACTTAAATTATTTATCATGTGTCAGCTATTGTTTATATTTAATTATTTAGCGGGACTACAACACGCCAACATGTGGGGGTTTTAATTGAAATTGAAACAAGTTTCAATTTAGTTTACTATTTTATAATTAATGATTATTTGGCCAGTTTTTTTTACAAATAGGTAACAATTAATTTTCGTTCTCTTTTCAAGTGTCATGTAAAAATATCCTGTTGCCTCGCAGCGTGAGAAAATATTCTGTTAAGGGCCAAGGACAAACCGCTCCTGCAATTTGATCGTCACGTATAAGCTTCCTCTTACCATCACACATGAATAATAAATGGACTGTCATCGCCAAGAGGGCAGCCAATAATGCGCGTATAATTTTAATGAGTAGCTTAATTTTTTTATTAATGCACGTTAAGCTTAACTCAGAGTTGCTTCTTTAGCCCGTTTTCCCGTTACATTTTGCACTTGGATATTTTTATTAGGAAAAATAAACAAGTCACCATCCTAGAACTGAGATGATGTTTTTAGCCAATTATTTTTATGAGCCTTAAACTCTTTACTTTCTTTCAGTAATTACTTTAATAAATTGTGCTGTCAACCGTGCATTTTTTCCTCTTGGAAGGCGGGTATGCTGAGGAAAAATTCTAAGTCCTGAATCCAAACTTGAATCTACAGTACAAACTATAAAGGTTAAATAAAATGTGAATCCGAGATTTCTGATTTATTATGTTGTAACACAATGAGTAAACAAATGAAAATTCGCCTGTCGAAGAGACCGTCGTGTCTACCTGGTCTGGCAAATAATACTCGTTACAGAAATGCAGTCACAACTAACTTCTTAAGATCTTAACCATCACAGCGGTCTTGCAATTTACTTGATTGCCGTTCGTGATGAAGTGGGTTATTTAAGAAAAATATCAGGAAAATTTCAACCTAGACATTATGATCATCGTCCACGGATACACTAGCTGTTGAAAACGCAAATGGTATCTAAAGGCCTGGTAACGTAAATATATGAAAAGGGTAGAATTTCTTGTGCAGAAATGAAAGCCATATTAAACGGTTCTTTGAATAAAAAATTTACACATAAGATGGAAGTCTTGACAGGGAACAACGTAAGCTCGTCTTGATTAATAAAATAAGTTTAAACAATATATACATAAGGGGATCTACGAGATCCCTATCATATTAGGAATATTCTATAGGCTATCACTGATTAGAATAGTCCATCACCATTGGGGTCCAACAACCAGGGGTACCTGCTGGGGCAAGGCATGCAGGTAGACAGGCGTACGGTTTCGCCGGGCAGTTCAGCAGTGTCCAATTTACAGTTATTTCCTCCGTTCTGGCACGATGGAGGGCCTTGGACTGCACACTTATCCTTCCAGGGCTCGAAGTTAGCAACTTGACTAATTGGAACAATATCCTGGAGCCAGTAAAGAGCTTGAGTCATGGTTACGAAGTAGACGTCCTTGTGAGTGCTAAGAATTTCGTCGAGCCAGAACGTAAAGGCATCCAGGATCTCAGGGTTGTTCTTGAGGAAAGCAGAGTGGAAAAAGAGTCCCATAGGAGCGCGGTTGGAGTTGTAGTGGCGGTTGAAGTTGTTGTTCAAGAAATTATAAAATTGATCGCCTGTCGGCCTGTTCGAGAAGCAGGAGTCCACCATAGCGCAACCAGGAAGAGGCTCTTCATGAAGAGGGTCTTCACGACGGTCCATTTCGTTCATGACCATTTCCCAAACAGCGTATGCCCGAGTAGGGCAAACCTGAATGTGCCCATGACACTCATGAGGCATACGGTAGTACAAAATATAGGGCCAAAGTGGCACATCAGCCAAAGGAGCAACAATGGTGGAATCGTAGAGGAAACCTTGCTCTTCCATCATGAGGAATTGGTTGTTTCCTCCCACTCGAAGGTAAGGAGCGCGGACGCCCACGACTGTGGTATCAGTGATGTTGGCGAAATGATTGACAATCTGTCGAGCTCCCGCCATTTCGTTGGTCCAGTCTTGGACAGTGGCTTCCGTCCAGAAGGTAGCGGAATCGTTGTGACTATAAAGAGGAAAATTCCTTCGTTTGAGACATGACAATAATTTTCCTTCACTACAATCTCAGCTCATAAAGAAAAACTCAAGTCCTTTATCATCGAGGGAATCAGAGAGTTTTTACATTTTGGCATCGCCGCAATAATACTACTTGTCAAAACTATTGATTATTTCTCATCGGGTTTCAGTCGTCTAGTGAAAAAATAACCGCTTAAAAATATCCCAGAGTAATATAAAAAGGAAAATAGTGAGCTAACTCACTCAAGCACTACCATGTCCAAATTACGAAATCATCAATGCAGGTTAGCAATTTAGAAAGTTTGGCTACCAATTGCGTCAGTTGCAATACAGTACCCAGCAGGAATAACATAGACAGTTAAGATGTATCATTATAGACAAATATGCTTCTTAAGTTTAAGACGTTCGAGCAGGCTACGGCGGTTAGGTGAGGCCTAATCTCAATCTACGAGTAAACAATTCAGTTTTCCTCACCTGATGGAGTGGACGGCGATTTCGTGTCCTTTGCGGTGTAGTTCGCTGACTGCGGTGTAATTCGTGTATTTATGCGACACGAAGAATGTGGCTTTGATGTCACAGCCATTTGGATTTGCGCGGCCACTGAAGATGAGGTCGTAGAGATCAACGTTGTTGTTGTTGACAGCGTCATCGAAAGTGATCATGATCATCTGTGGTACATCCTTAGGGTCGATATTGTTGGGGGTCTGCGAGAAAACAAGGCACCAATGTTAGACGTGAGGTTATTGAAACTTTTTAGCGCATTTTCTCATTTATGGAAAAAATGCACTATTGTGCTCGCCATGTCCGTCTGTCTGTCCGTCTGTCTGTCCTGGACCTCAAGTTTTCGTCGACGAAAAAATACGCTCTCTGTCACTCACTGCAGTGAGTACTGAGTTATATTTTTTGTTTTTACACTATGTATTCCATGCAGTGAAAATTAGCATTGATTATTTAGTTGGTGGTAAGTACCTCATTAGGGTTGTTAATGCAGAAGCAGTTCGGCAGCTGGCATTCGGCCTTGTTACATTGAGGAGCTCTGTTTGGATCTGAGTTGATGTCTGCAAAGAAGAAGGAAGAAATTGATAACATCTCAGGAGTCCGTATTTTTTATTCCATTTATCGTATTTATGGGCGAATCAATAAAATGGAATATATAAATGGCCATCAAGACTGAAATTTTGTCCAAGTAAATCCAATAGAATCACTCGAGGCAGATACTTTTCTTGTGACAACACAATTTGGTCAACTTTTTGCATGCATGTTGATATCTTTACCTTTACATACGGGAAATGCTATCTCCAGAATTTGTTCGTCAAGTTGCGATATTATTAATTGTAGAAATTTAAAACTCAATTGCCCGTGACTGTAAATAACACAAGTATTGCATTGGTTCCGTGCTGGAGAGGAAAATGCTACTCACCGCAAAAGTTCTCATCTGAATTATCGGCACAGTCAGGCTTGCCGTCGCAGAACAACTCTTTCGCTATACACACACCGTCTCCACATGCCAGCTTACCGCCCTGCACGAGTCACAAAAACTCGACTTAAACACAATCATTGTTGGTGCAATGCCAGTTCTAAACGTAAAAAAATTGCCCATATATTGGTAATCTTGACCCACATAATATAATTCAACATTCCTTGAACTCTCAATGGAAGAACATCTTACTATGTTGATGTGATGTAAAATTCACTAAAAAATTTAAAATTCCTAAAATTCAAATGTTAGAAATAATTTTACGTGAGAAAACCTTTCATCGGAGAGTAAAATGTAACAAGACATGAGCTCCCGACAAGTTCCAAAGATCAACGCAAAGAAATTTTTGCAAAAAAATTGAATGGATTTGCATACCTCGCACAAGGGGTCCTTGGTGGCAGTGAGAGGCCTGACTTTCTTGTCTTTGGTGGTCTTGGCACAATTCTTCACCTCTTCCTTCCAGTTGCATGCTTGCAGTTCCAGGTCGAATGCAAGACTAGGGGGGCACACTAGACTCTCCAGACCCTGGCGAACAAAGAAATGCGTGCGGTTAGGACTCTTCATTTACTATCATCATAAATTCTCTTTAATTTCCCCAACGAATGCAGGGAAATAATTACACTTGCCATACTATGGCGATGTAAATCTACCTATTTAATTTGGTTTGCGGATCTGAAGAAGAAAGGAAGCTCTAACAGCTAACTGCACTTGCACTCGAGACGTGGACTCCAAAGTAGTCAAGTTATTCACGTCCAGGTTTCATCACTGAACGTATTCAACGCAACTACCTCAATTTCCCTATCCCTGATATATTATTATTATGGTAACTAAACAGTTGAATGCACATGATTCATTATATTTACATCTCATTCGATTAATTTTCGACTTTCGAAACGAAATATTGATATCGATTTCAAGCAATCATCGTTTGCAGCAAACATACAAATTGCCCTGACAGAATTAGGCTGAATAATCCATGTCTCAATTCCACCCCTGCTTTCCAGGGATGTAAAATGAATCATCAAGACTCGTATGAAATATATCTGCCCTTCATATCAACGGGATCCTTTCATATCTGCTTTTTCATTTCCATTTGTTGCACAAATTGTTTTGGTCGTTGGAGTTTTATACCCAAAACACTAGTGAATTTTGTAAATGAAAGTTGTCTCACGAGCAGAGAGCTGAAAGATGACGGTTTGGATCATATTCCCTTAAATGAGGATGACATATTGATTGATGATGGTCCAAAACCATAAAAAATATGGTGGCTGATCATAGTCATGTTGGCCTCGCAGTGCAAGTCAGTTGCTGACCTTTATGATCGAGAGGCCAATCGTTCTGCCGGCCGAGTCTTCCATGCCCCTGCCGGCTCGTTGACATTTGCGCCGACGCGACCCACTAGCAAGACAACTTTCTGCCTCCATCCTGGCCCAGGCAGAGTGCCATGTGGCTGTAACCTACTTAGGCCTTAACCCCGGTGTCTTACTACAGCCTACATAGACCGCGACACTGAGTGCCTTGCTTCGGGCTATATAGATAGCAATTAAAATGTAAAGTTTTAGTATTTGGACATAATGAATAATTCATGCTTCTAAGTGATAAGCTCCGATGAAGAGAAATAGGTAGAAATAGGATTCACGCACATTTATACACTTAAATTATTCGAGGGCGTTTTGCGCTCTTACCTCCAATTCATCCGTCTAATGCAGCCTCTTAAGTGACATACAAGTTATATTAATCCTAATAATTCCTAGTTGATGTGAAACTCGTTTGCATGAGAGCGGAAGAAGAGAACACGTCAATGGAACAGTCCAGAATCTAGGACTCAACGACGCCGACATCAAGTAATGCTCTGCAGGAGAGACACGGCATCGCTAATATGCAGGCAGAAGGTAATTACTCACATCCGAAATCAGACCTACAGAACACATACGACTCCTAATAAGGGCATTTCAGCTATTGAAAAATTCGAAAAGAGTTTAGGTGAACTAAAAAATTTTCTACGTTCAACGTCGTATTATAAAAAATGAAAATAAAGCATAAATTTAGATTTTATCTGTTTTTTCTTTAACAGGAAAGAAATTGGAAAGGTTTTTCATCGCAAAGTTGGACCTCATCGTACCTATGCACCGCATGGTTGTCCAAAATAAGCTGAGTATTTTAATTAGTTTTGTTCTTGAAACGAAAACTTAAGATCAACTCTCCTTTTTATGTACAATTCTGTATTGAAAAGCTCGGTTGATGGCCATTGATTTCATTTGTATTGTATACGCTTGTAAAGTTTTAGAAGACACGCGCCCTAATGACATTGTGAGAGGAGAGGCCATGAGAATGGAAAGGCTGACTCGAGTCAGGTTCCAGTGTGTCGGTTAGCTCCTTCGACAAGAATCTTTATGGTATATAAAAAAGTATGTAATTCTCATGATTTCTGCCAACCATATTTTCAATGTTGTTAGTGGCTGTGTTATGCTGGATATACAGTATGAACATGAATGTAGGTATAATCAGCCAGTTTTATAATTCTGTATTTTACCAGAAAGATCGCTGTAGTGTAGTAATTTCTGCACCTAGAAAAATTTGTTCCCAATTGATCGCGAGAAAAGACCATCTTTTGAAAACCAATGCGCTACTGATTCGAGCTGTGCCCTTTGCAAGATTATACTCGACCATAGGTGGGATACGATGCCTCATCAATTTTCAGAGATGCTTAACCAACAATTTTCGCCGCTCTTCAACAATAAAAAAAACTATTTCACCGTATGCGATATGCCAGAGTGCGTCACTGCACGGTACAGAGCGTATATGTAGTGTACAAGTTGTTAGCGTAACCCACTCAACGTTTGAGTGTTAGTGTGGTTGCAATTTGTCACTGCACAGATAGTTTCTTTAATGAAGTTTCTAATTGTACCTATACTTAATTTTAGAATCATGTAGATTTAGGTGCTAGGTAGCTGCATATTTACAATACTACGCTCATCTGTCTGCTTTGCTAGATCTCGCAACGAGATCTAACTCGTAATGAGATCTTACGGTGAACTACGAGTTTCGTACGGGTTCATGATATATCACATGACTTGTCATCGCATTTAAATAATAATAATTTTAGGTTTTCTAGATAGTGTACTTGCTGTTTAAAAGTGTGGATTAAAGTAAGATTAAAAGTAAAAAAGTAAAAAAGATTAAAGTAAAGTAAAAAAAATATTGTTCGATATATTGAAAAAACTAATAAGAAAATTGTGAATAAAACAAATTCTCTGGTCTTCAATGAAACCTGCTTGAAAGAAGAAATTCTGCCAACCTATACTAAAGTAAGATTGTACACTATTTACGATTCACCTATATCAGCAGGTGACAGCTCTCCGCCCGCAACACTGCTAGCATCAGTCGCGTGTCGCAACAGATTGTGCCGCATGCTTCCTAAAAGCTTGCATTCACTTTTGCTCTCTGCCGAGGAATGCGCTCTCGAAGGTAATTAGTGCTTATCCTATGTATCTCAAACATGATATATATCAGGCACGCATGTTTTATGCACGACTTCATTCCAGAAGTGTGCTTCATCTCTTGTCATGGGACAGCCATATATCATTATATTAACGTAAAATCGTGGCAACTATGACTTATCACGCCTGATCCCTTGATATCTTCTGATGAACAACAACGGTAATGTTTTGCGTTGTTTAATAGCTAATAAATATTTTTGATCTTCCACAAGTGAAAGTATTCTTCAGAGTAAGTTAAGCAACCCCCTGAAGTGGGGGTGTCGGGCACTAGTGGGGTTATCGGGTGCTGTAAACATCTTGTTATGAGTGAAATCATCCTAACGTTTTTGCTGTTACTTTTTGTGCGCGTGTTTACAAAATTACAAATAACGCGGAATACAAAATTTTAACCAATATTAGTCCAAAACAAAATTTTTGTAGAACATTCTTTAACCATAATTACGACTAAAAAATAAGTTCAAGGGCCCGGCCACATGGAAAACTTCCCAACGAATCAGAGTTTCAAATGGCCGCCTGTCTGTATGTAGATGAAACTTTTGAACATTTTTTTCTTGAGCTGAGGCTAAAATTTTGGAATTAACCCAGCTCTGCTCCAGCGTTACTCCCGCGATGTCTACCATTCCTAAGTTCAAATGTGCTGTCCTTTTACCGCAATATCGTGACGCGTTCTCCTCAAGGACAGCAAATAACAGGGTTGCTATTACGTCTCGTGCGCTCATATAGGCAAGTCAGTCACTAGGAGACGTGCAGTGAATATGATGTATGAGGCCAGCGGTCCAGTGTGGTGAAGATGATGTATGAGGCCAGCGGTCCAGTGTGGTGAATATGATGTATGAGGCCAGCGGTCCAGTGTGGTGAAGATGATGCATGAGGCCAGCGGTCCAGTGTGATGAATATGATGTATGAGGCCAGCGGTCCAGTGTGGTGAAGATGATGTATGAGGCCAGCGGTCCAGTGTGGTGAAGATGATGTATGAGGCCAGCGGTCCAGTGTGGTGAAGATGATGCATGAGGCCATCGGTCCAGTGTGGTGAAGATGATGCATGAGGCTTTCGGTCCAGTGTGATGAATATGATGTATCAGGCCAGCAATCCAGTAAATGAAAGGACGGTCATGCAGCTCGCGGGTTGGTGTGGCTACTGTTTGATGTCACAATAAGAACCATGGCATTTCATATAGCATCGACCGTTAGCTGCAGTCAAAACTGTTAAACGCCTCATTCTCCTAAGAGTAGCATCGAGTCCCCAAGTTACATTGATATTGAAGAGCGACGTTTCGGGTTAAATATCTTTCGATTCCGCGCTTGGACTTGGCTGGAAGCTGAGCCGGGCTCAAGAACCTCTTGCTTTCGGCATGCATGCTTCCTTCTTCATAATGAGCGTTTTGAATGGACAAACGTAAAAAAGTTGAAGTCCGTGACCTGGTTTGGCCGAGGTAATGTTAGAGACATGGCGAGGACCAGACTAGTCGATGGCCGTTGAGGGTCATTTCGTCAGTCGGCCGCCATTCTTTGTCGCACAAACCTTTGCTTCAGCTTCAAGGGTCAAAGGCTAGTGGAACCTTGTTTTTTTATTGATCCACGGATATATAAGTCGGCGTAAATCATGAATTGCCTCGTACACGGCCTGTCACAAAGATATCTTATCGCGAGAGTTGTTCGACATTGAACACATATGGTCAGGCCACGTGCCGGTCAGCTCATTTCTACTAGTTTCACTCTCTACAGGCGAGTTGTCGACGAGCTGGGCAGCAATACTGCATGAAAATGTGCTTCGTGTACTAAATAGTACTTCACAGCCAAATTAGACTAACGGTCGCTTTTTGATCACATTATTGTCAAAATATTGGGCTGGACCTTCTTTATTTGTCATGTTGTTTTACATATGACCTGATGAGGGCACAGTGTTAAAAGGCCGAACAGGCGAAAGTTTAATTTGTCGAGAAAGTTCAAGGTCGCAAATATCAGATATCAGGCTTTATAGATAACGGAACATGGTGATCAACTTGCATTAGACATAATTAACTTGGTCTCTAAGCTCGGTCCAATTAGCAAAATCTGAATTGCAGCGTACATCAAGTGTTGTTATTTAAACTCGCTTCATCTTTAGTGATGACATACATTTCCCACATTTCCCATCTTTAGTGATGACATGTCCCAATTACCATGGATCAATAACTTTTACTTTACATGTGACAATAATAAATCCCCGGTAATATTGGAACTTTAACACCGAAGTAATATCAGAAGCATCCTTGTTAAATATTTCAGGTTACTCATAATTGTTAGTCGATAGCTTCCAAATTGATGTCGAACAGTCAATTAGGACTTCAGTACCGTAAAGTAACGTAAAACCATAACAAAAGTATCGATTTTGCTCGTTGCGACTATGCTCTGGATGAATGTTTACTCACGACTTCTGTGCACTGGATGACTTTTCTGCAATCCTGCGTGCTGAGTCTGAAGTACTCCTGCGCGCCCTTGCTGGCGCACAGCTCCCTGGTGAAAGCGTCCACGGCATCCTCGTCTACCGTCGCCTCGGCCTCCGCTGCCTGTCGCTTCTCACGCTCCTCTGTAAGTCAAAATAAAAACATGTGAAACTGCACAGTGTCACACATGTGAGGTACTGATGCAAGCAATAAGCAAGCAACAGCATCGTGCATCAGGTGGCCCAAATGAGGGCGGATGAACGATAATCAGAGGCGGCGATCCATCGTGGCCTGGGACTGCTATGTCCCAAACAAATACTAAGGATACTTAGGATACTGGCTCTACTTATGAGGTACTGGCACAGTGTCACACATGTGAGGTACTGGCTCTACTTATGAGGTACTGACACAGTGTCCTCCAACTCCACGACAGTTATGACTTCACACGCTCTTATGCAACTTAAAATAAAAACATATGAGGGACTGGCACTATGTCACCCATCTCCATGACAGTTATGACTTCACACGCTCATCTGGAACTTAAAACAAAAACGTGTGATGTACTGGCACAATGTCCTACAATCCGACAGAACGTGAATAGGTTATGAATTCTCACGCGCCTCTGCAAGGCAGAATAAAAATATAACAGGTTAGCTGAATCTTTACAGCAACTTGTTCGAGAATGAGTTGTCTTTTGTTTTAAATTTTTATACTAATTTTTTATTATTCAAATAAGAGAAATTAACTTGAGGCTGCTCAACATAGATTCGTTTTCATGAAACTCTCCTGATAACGAAGTTACTCTTCTGTTGCACGGCAAATATGGCAGTGAGTTAGGAAATGATTCAATAGGCAAACTCAACACTTTCTCGTACATCTTTGCCTACAAAAGATAACTTAATGATCCTTTTTGAAAATGACGTCAAGATAAAAGAGCCCGTTTTCAATGAAGCTAAGAAAATTATGCCATGAATACTCGGATTTGTACACTTATAGAGCAGGTCTGCGTGAATGATGAACATTAATAACCTACTTAATAATTTTTCTTTCTTTGATTAATGATTCATGAAATTCATGAAAAGCATAATAGAGAAACATTGAACCTTTGAGAGTACACATGTAAGAATACAATATTTATAAGTTATTGTGTTAAAATAATCTGTGACAGTTAAAATATTCTGCGACAAAACCTGGCCAAACCGAACATTGTTTATTTTTTCTCTCTTAACATTCTATTGTTGCGTTGACAAACTTTCATGCGGCATTAGCAGATATTCAATGCTGCAATTTCAAGGTTGATAGAAAAATATAATATATCGTCATATCTTTTATTTTATTTGGTTAACCCGGCGGTAAGAGAGGTTAAAAATTTAACTTTTGTTTTTAAATAAGCCGCAATGAGCGTAAAAAACAATGTACTTTCTTATATTCTATTGTTTACTGCGGCCAAATTCAGAGGGGTGAGAGAAGCCTGAACTTCGCCCGCTGCATAGAGCGCAATGAAGCTGACACTTCCATTGTGCATGGAGTAATGCAAGGCACGGCCCGCGGCCGCCAGCTTCGAGAAGGTTACAGAGGTTCTGCCAGAGGTTGGCCTTGGTTCAACGAACTGACGGGCTAAGCAGCCAGACTTGGCCGACCACTGCCACTGATTTACAGTCTTGACCGGCATGGCTAAGCCGCCAGACTTGGCCGACCACTGCCACTGATTTACAGTCTTGGCCGGCGTGGCTGCGCAGCCAGACTTGGCCGACCACTGCCACTAGTTTACAGTATTGACCGGTGTGGCTGCAGGCTTTGGACTGTGTCAAGCATAGGTTGTCAGTATTTAGATTCGTCATTTCATCGTATTGATGAAAATGAAAACTATGTACATTTCGAATTACAATTTCAAACGTTGAGTTCGAATGCTGTTTTTAGCGCATTGTCTCATGCATTTATGGAAAAAATGCACTATTGTGCTCGCCATGTCCGTCTGTCCGTTTGTCTGTTCGTCCGTCTGTCTGTCCGTCCGTGACTTCACGTCTTGGTTGACGAGAAAATGCGCTATCTGTCATTCAATGCAGTGAGTACTGAGTTACATTTTTTCCGTGATAGACCAAATTTAGTTAAACTATTTCAATTACTTAGATTACAGTATATATTTTTTAAGTTAAAATATGGAGCAAAATTTGTTGAATGGTAAAGAAAATGGCATGATTAACGAAGGTTCTGCACCCTAAGCTTTTTCGCAGACCGATGTAATACTATGATATAATAAAATAAAATCGTGCGTTCTCGAAGCAATATTTTCATTTGAAGTTTATGCAGTTATGATCCACGAACTCAGAGTTCAATTAAAAGGAGTTTCTTACATCTGATCGAATTTAGCTTAAATGGATCGATAAATAATGTGTATAGTACTTTACGCCATATATATAGTGCATTCTACTATACGAATAATGTGCATAGTACTATAGTTGCTGGGCTAGTAATTCAACAATAATTGAACTTGCGGGTAGCCCGTAAACCCGTCGTCCCGGTTATCGAAAAGTAACTGAATTGACGTGTCGCCCGGAAGTGATCGAATGGAAACAATCCTGATGTCAACCTTGTAGATTTTTAGTCTCGTTGACGATCAAATGCATATGATTGGAGTGTTACAAGTAATTTCGTAAATTATATCAAGTTGCAAGGAGGTCAGGGTACCACGTTCATTGCGCTATACAACATGGCTCTTCGATCAAAAGTTCATGACAACTACCCTGCGTTTGGTAGTTCACTCAAAACGCGATTTTTCCTATGAAAGAATGGGAAAATTGCTTGGAGATATTCACAGGCTTTAATCGAGACAAGCCTCATGATGGAAAAAGTTCTAGAATGAAGCTGTGGCATGAGAAATTATTAGCTAATGCAGTGTGGTCATGAGTTGGTAATTAGCTTTTGTAATTTCTTCAAACGTTATGAAAGAGGAGTATTTAGCATTAAAAATATTAAAACTTAAATTTTACTGCAATAAAAAAAATTGTACGTCAGAACTCACTCAAATTCTGTCGTAAAATTCTCGATCAATCTGTCGTTATAATAAATTTTTGTACTTTTTAACAAGTTTAATAGAACATGCATGCATGCGGCGTTTACGAGAAACCGGTAAAACGGCACCGAAAACCATCTCAAAATAATTCTGTGTACATTGCTTGACATAAATAAACTTATTTTTAAACGCGCATATTGTAACAACCTTAGACACTAGCTACAGTTTATTTTGATTATTTTCATGTAATTGCCTGCGCCGCGAGAGATCACTACCTGTGCCGCGTTGAAGTCTCCCATCGTAACAGGACCGTAGGCCTATCAGTCCCGACTACTCTAAGAACTTAAATCGTAATCGTTCGTAAATTATGGTTAAGAGTATAAAAATTTACATCCATGCTTCTGAATTAAAGTAAAAAAAACACTTCTCATGATCACTGATGTAGTTAGATAATTATTATTATCAGATATACAGCAAGGCGGACATATGGATCACCGCTAATTCTACTATATACAAGTATAATATGGGACTTTAATGTAAAATATATATAAGATTGACGGAGAACGTCGTGATCTTCAGATGTTAAGGAATCATGTGCCTCTGAACAGTGCTAGGTGTTGCAAACTGGGAGAAAGGCAAAGTTGTACCCAGTTTTTGGCAAGCGTTCAAGTTGGGCGGAGGGTGTGGCTCTATTATGCAAGAGACGCGACTTGAAAAATGCGCATGAGGAAAGATAAGAGTTGCGTGCACGCACTCACAGGAGAAGGGAAACCAAGTTAAACCAAAAGTTTTTTCCTTAGTGCAGCAATATTTCTTTGGTGCTGCAGTAAAATTAAATTGGAATGAAAATCCTTTGGCTAAATTTAGGTACAGCTATGCCGCGATATTTCAAGAGGCTATATGAATATTTATTACTGTATACGTTCAGGCAGTTCTAAAAGGTTCACCATATTTCTAGTTGAATGTTTTGTGACATGAATTATTTTTTATTCTGGATCAACATTTATAAATGATAGTGTCATTTAGTATAATATTTCAGTCGTCATCAAAGAAATGTAAATAAAAATGGTCGTTGTACGCACTTCCTCATTCGTGTGCGATCTAAAAAGTTTTGTAATGATTATTTGTTGACTGAAAAACCACCATACGTAATTGCGCAATAAATTGATGCTTTGTGACGTCACGTTGTTTATCGCGATGTAGCAAGTATTTGGAAATTGAGATGAAGCAATCATATTTAAGTTAGTCTAGTGACGGTAAGTCTCGTTATTGGGTTTAATAAGTATGAATCGAATTCATGATGGTTACATAATATGTAGTCAAGGGGTTAACGATCCATTGAAACTTGAGGACGCCAAACTTGATGCGTTACTTCTTCATGGCTTAGTAGGTATCAATTAAATTAAGTCACTTAGACAGTCGCAGTTTTTGACGAACCTGGCATGGGAATTTGTGAAGTACGAGCAAAATACGCTCTGACATCTTCTATACAACAGTCTAGAAATGCCAAACAATAATTTGATCGAACTATGTTCGTCTACAGCAGTGGAGACGTTATTATTCTTTATGAATGTAGTCCAGAATGTACACTCTATGCTTCAAATAAGATACTTTGCCCTGTTATTGATGTTTTATTATATTACTTCATAGTTAATTAAGTCACATTTTATGTGCCAACAGAGCCTGTCAACGCCGGCGGTCACAATTTTGCTCCCATGGAAATATTACAACATGCGATCATATCTACATCAAATTAAAATTATTTCTTTATTTCTTGTTAAACGAGTTTTAGTATTTGCATCTAGCAAAAAATCTCAACAAATACCACGTTTTTATATGATTTTATTATGATTCCAGAAATTTGTTGTTTTTCACTGAAAGTTTGAGGGGATTGTGTAGCAGGGATGTCTATGCGGTCGCCGTGAGCTCGTTATGGTGAAGGCTTAAGCACTCCAGTCACTTTCTCTCTAACAATGATGGCGACACCACTTGCATGAACTAAAACATAGAAATTTGATGCGAGGAAAAGACCACATGCACCACAACATACATTCATAAATGTAGCCATTCCGATTCAGCACAAAAACATTTCAACACATCTTTTTCTCTACCACAAACACAGACATGAACCATAAAATTGTCGCAATTCTTGCACATGTCGCCCACAACACATAAAACCAGACAACAATGTCAACACAAACCAATAATCTGCACAGCAAACCATATAAGAAAGTAATGATTTTCACTTTATGTGTACTGTCGGAATCGACGAAAGCAGCAAAATCACGGATGTTCTACAAATGTGTATCGTTGGAAGAAGGAATTACATCCAAACTTGCTCTAAGGCGAAATTTCTTAAAACAGCATTAGCAAGCAAGCATTTCTTCAAGAATTAACAGAATTGTAACAGACACATCAACACATCATTCACAATAACCGCAACATTGACATGAGCAAAGCAAAAGCAGAATGCTGTTCTTGACACGGCGATGTGTCACGTCACGGTTCTGGAGACACGGGAACAAAAGAAGTCGGACGAGCGTTGACGAACTACGCGTGTCTTTGTATGACGTCACTCAAACACCACAGCTCGTTCCTAAGTAAAGCAGTGAACCATCACGCGTTCTTTGGAACTTCACGATTCGTGAACTGCGCACTTTATTCAACCCGAAACGTGGAGGTGGAAAGCACGCAAGTCATTAACAAAAAACACGCGAACTTGCTGAGCTAAAAGGCAGGACTCCAGTGACTGCGTGATGGGGGTGTTTACTAAAAAAATACCTCAGAATTATAACGTTGCGACATAAATTCCGATAAAAGATTGGATTCTTCGTTTGGAATAAGATTCTTATACTATAGGTCCCTTAAAAGAGTATAGGTTTACTTACCAGCTAAGACTGCCGCTGCTGCGAACAATAGCACAAGGACGAATCTTAATCTAGACATGACGGAGCGATGTCTTAAGAGAGACTGCGGCAACCCACCTCCAGGGGGCCTTATATAGCGGGTCTGTTCTCCCCACCCTCCCTTCCTCACCCTACATGGGGGTTCAGATCAGGCTCCTTCAGCTATCTCACGAATAATACACTCATAGATCACGAGGGCTAAATGTACTTTTGTGCTCCCAGGGCTCATTCGTACAACGCATACACTAACCGCACTAATGTGATGCATTCATTCTAAAGACGCTCGTAGAAGATCGCATTAAAAGCGCATTTGACAGATAACTGATCAATTTGAGACCAAAATGACTGCACTAACCTTGTCTCGAGCCACAGTACGGGACTTGAAGGGTCTTGAACCACAAATGAAACTTTCCTGGAAATATCAACTGAAACACGCCTTGAATTTAAAAAGGAAGTTATGCCTCAGTTATATTAGTTATGACTGAAACTCTATATGAGTACTCCATTAATTAATGTAGCAGTACCAGGGCACGCCTCATTGTAACACTTCGGGGCATGTAACATTGGGGACTACGGGGCATGTAACATTGGGCACTACGGGGCATGTAACATTGGGCACTACGGGGCATGTAACATTGGGCACTACGGGGCATGTAACATTTGGGCACCACGGGGCTCCTAGACGTCCTGATCGAGCTACGGATGCCCCCCGCAGGTTGAGGTCGTCTACCCTACAGCAGCAGAGGCGTTGCCATATAAATAATCAATGAAATTTTCAAAATCCTGTCATCCCGAATCCTATGAATAGTAAGTAGCGAGGCTAAATAAAATTAAAACGAGCTCTGCTCATACCCAAATGAAAAATTGAACTCCCTTTCTTCGCGGATATAATGATATCTCACTTACATCATAAATGGATGTGTAATTCTTCTGTAATATAAATTATCGAATGATGTAATAATAATTAATAATAATAATAAAAATTATATGATATCTATGTTGACAGAACACGTCGCCTGCAGCATCCCAGGACAACAGACGACCATGTCTCTTCCATCGTCACGACGTGGACAATTATCATGCTCGTCAGCGGCGCATCAATTCTAAATGATTAGAAATGAATCAATTTCTAATCATCTATGATTCTCAATATAAATTCTTCTAGAATACTTTTCTTGAGGGGGTTGAATTCTAGAGTAGAATGTATGCCCTTGTGTGCATTACATTTTGAGATTACAGATTTATTTATATGAGTGAAGAATCTTAATTTATTGAGAGATGAAGACTCGATGAAGATTGTTTTGGAAACCCTTTGCATTCAAAGTCCAATCATTCCTAAGCAACTAAGCGGGGCTTTTCCACCATAGCTTAGGGTCAATGCCATAAGGGCTGTCGATATCAAAACGTGTTCTCAATATCCTTGGGCCGTTACGAGCCCACTGTATTGCAGTTAATTCGTTGGATTTTATCAGGCATATAATCGATGTGCGTGGATTCAATGCATTTGTTAAAATTTATTCTCAAAATCAGAATCTGAATCTTTTATGCCCAGCTCGTAATTCAATGCATTTGTTCAATGCATTTGTTAAAATTTATTCTCAAAAATCAGAACCTGAATCTTTTAAGGCCAGCTCGTAATTGCACAGTTTGATCACTAGCTGAACCGTCTTGTATCTTTGGCAGGACGACGAGCGCCATCTTGTGACCTACAGGGAAAACAATGGTCACGATCACTCAGCACTCACTTAACAGACTTCTGACGTTGAATCATCGTTGAAATAAACGTTTTTTTGTTAAATCAGCATTATTTCAACGTGTTTTAATGTCGTCTTCCTGTTGGGCACTAACTAAAATGCATACGAGCGTTGCGGTTCTGCGTTAGCGTATGGCAGTTGCTTTGGTCGCGTCAACTATCGAACTTCCGTTTAATTTTGAGTCAAATTTTGAGAAATTTTCGTTCAAAACGAGTTCCGATTATGTCGAGGTGTGATGCGGTTGACTTGCGGGTTTGACTGTACAGTGCAGAGTGAATGGAGAGTTTATCGTATTTTCTAAGCTTCATTGATACTCGATTGATGTTGTTCACTGAATATAAACGAACAAAAGGATCAATTTAAGTTGTATTAATAACTATCATTTATGTTTATCACAGCATTATTTTGCAGCGTATGGAAAATTATCTCACATAAATTTTGTCCCTACGATCGGCAAACTAAAAAATAATTCGATTTCACATTTTTCGTGCCCATCCTTTAGTTCAACGGCACGACAATTTCTATGAATTCCTTTTGTCCCCAAATTATACTCAAGTCCATTACATATCATAACGTGCTTATAAATTCCATAATCTCAAAATTCTTCATATTGCATTTCCCTTTTTTCAGTGGCAATATGTCGCTTTCTACCCTGAAACTTTAACCTGCAACAACGGAGCCGGTGACCTGCTTTCGGCTGTGTTTTACACCGCACGGTTTCTTGTTTCCAATATCCACTCAGCGGAAACCCTTGGCAAATCTCCACAACTCGAAAGCGTGGCAATTTTCTCCTGACTTGCAAATCCTGCGAATATCGAATCAATATTAACCGGAAATTTTGTAGAGAAAATCACGAGGTGTTGGGGAAATTTTGACCTTTCTAATGAATATTGACCTTTTCTAAGGAATATAGACCTTTTAGACTTCCTTTTTAAGGAAGTGAATATTGCTTTGATTTCCTTGTCACGCAAGAATTCGATGCCCGAAAAAACACTCTAAATATTGCAATTTATAACCGTGATCGCCATTTTGATAGTTCGTTTTCGAGGAATATTAAGATTATTCCTATTCCTTAAACGCAAGTAAACGCAGGATAGGTGCTCTTTTCCACATTATAAAGAAAACCTTTTCTCAAATCAATGAATGTGCCGTGAACAAACATGTTTATTCTTCTTTCAAGATTGATTGCTTCACCCCCGATTATTTTGCCATTTTCTTTGGATATTGATTGTAAAAAGCATTAAAAATATTTGCTTCATCAACGCAAATTATTTTTATAAAATAAAATCTAGTTACGCCAGCGTTGTACGGATCGATGGCTGCGGATTTGCTTGCTGCTTGAATGTCAAGGAAATTTCTTGTTAAAAAAACGGATGAAAAAATCCGGCTCTTTTCCGCAACCTCGGACCCGCTGGACCCGGAACAGCATTTCTCTGGACGTGTCTTGATACAAAAATTGTTGAATTGACGACCAGAAAAATAGCTGTTCAATAAGAATCGTTCTTTACGATATTTACTCGCTCTGAGGAATGACATAAACATCCGAGTCTTTAGCAACATTACTTCATTCATCATCAGGAATAAATAACGTCAATCGCTGTTGTTTTCGACGCTGAAACTTTTTTCCTGTCCAAAGATCCCAATTGTTTGTGAAGCAAATTTAATGGGTAGATATCGGAGAGAAAAACTGTTATATTTGTGTTCATATTCCTGCAAAATTAGTTTTTATGTCTTGAATTGCGTTCCGGCACATACAATCGATTAGATTTTTGATCTGCGTTGATTTAAAGTTAATTGCGCTGTGGTGTTATGGGTGTTCCTTAAGAAATTCAATAAAAACAATTTCTTTTCTATTGTCGTGCAATTTTTTTCTCTTTCTGTTGTAGTCACTGTCTCGCTATATCGGAATTTACTTCAGTAATATTTTTATTCTGAAACGCGATGCACACGCGGCATGCGACCAACATGTACAAGATATGGACATGATTTGCACGCGGTCTACACGAGATACGTCAGCGGTTTACACACAAGCGACATACACGCACTTATTAAACACGCGTCACACACTCGTATATTATTCACGCGTTATACACGCGTCACACACGCATATGTTATACACGCGACATACACGCTTATATTATACAAGCGTCACATACATACACATATGTTATACACGCGACATACACGCTTATATTATGCACGCGTCACGCACGCATGTATTATACACGCGTCACACACGCATATATTATACACGCGACATACACATGGGTAGATATCGGAGAGAAAAACTGTTATATTTGTGTTCATATTCCTGCAAAATTAGTTTTTATGTCTTGAATTGCGTTCCGGCACATACAATCAATTAGATTTTTTATCTGCGTTGATTTAAAATTAATTGCGTTGTGGTGTTATGGGTGTTCCTAAGAAATTCAATGCAAAAATTTCTTTTCTATGGTCGTGCAATTTTCTCCTTCGGTTGTAGTCACTGTCTCGCTGTATCGGAATTTACTTCAGGAATATTTTTATTCTGACACGCGATGCACACGCTGCATGCGCCCAACATGTACAAGATATACACATGATATGCACGCGGTATACGCGAGATACGTCGGCGGTTTACACGCAAGCGAAATACAAGCACATATTAAACACGCGTCATACACGCATACTGTATATTATACACGCATCGCACACGCATATATTATACACGCGTCACACACTCATATACACGCGGAATACAGGAGTTATTCAAGGAATTACACGTGACATATACACATAAATACGTGAAATACAGGCGTCATAGTCCTATATACTGACAGTATACACGTAACACAAAGGAAATATACACGTGACGTACATGAAATAAACACACATCAACACAGCTTGTATACCAGCGTTAGCATTTCCTTGTTTTCAGTTCACTTCGAATGCCAATGCTGATTCCAGCTCGGGGGAAATTCCCACTGATAACTTGTAGCTTGCGCATTCCGTTTTATTTGTGTTAATTATTGGGAGTCATTGGAGGAGCTCTTAATGGAATATGATTGAAGGGCTTGGCTGGTCTTTAGATGTAAAATGTTTAGGAGCCGCTGCTGTGGCTCACAAATTTGACTCTGCAATAAGCTGTGGCCTCAGCATGCCTTAATTAAAATAATAAAATTAATTAATTAAAAAATAGCCTAAGCATGCAATAATTACACTCAGCATCAGAGCTAAAAAATACACTATGCTGGAACACCATAATCCTGACCAGGGAAAAACTTGTTATAAATGATAACGCAGTAGATCATAAGCATGCAGTTCTGTAT